AACGAATAATCACCGTGGCTGAACATTGGGGCAAGCCATTTTCCAAATTTGCCAAGCTGTTAATCGACCGGATCCGTTCGTTCCGCGCTGCGTCGAATGACGTAAGGAAGACGTACGTGTGCTAATTGCCGCGAACCAAACAGGGAACACCGATATATGCTGCACAGCAGCTACGGTGTTTCGGTGTACCGGGCTTGTTCTTTAAATTGTTTCATCGTTAAGGTACCCCACAGTTTAATTGCGAGTTATAGGATTATTCTTTCTTGCAGAGTGGGGATGTGACGGCGATAGCGAGGACGGCTTATGCGCGGACACGTACCGTCGCTTCCTTGCGTCGTTCCCGCGGAGACTTTGTACCGCCGATAGGTCACGGTTACCAGATAAACCCTCTGTACGGAACGATGCGGTCCCGTAATCCTCGAATATCTTACATTACCCGCGCGTATACCTGTCCCCGCGTGGCCGGTTCGATTAAACACGGATAAATTGGGTCTTTGTACTCTTTTAATTAGAAGCGGGGAAAGTCAAGGGGAAAATACCAGAGAATTAAGGGTTATCCGATTTCCCGATAGATCGAGGGAGAATGTATACGATAAAGTGGATAAGGGGGTGGGAGAATAAAACGGTTTTGAATAATAGGGGTAACTGTATAATAGAATACACGTCGAACAATCAGTGAGAGTTCTTAGTGCAAGCATCGGGAACGATACGTACAGTTATTCGGATATTCGGAGCAATTTTCTTCAGATAAATGGTTTAAAGGGGTATCAATGTTCTGTAATACGATAAGTGTTTATTACTGCAATTCTTTATTACACGAATTTTAACCCTTACCCCTTACACTAGTACTGTTGTATTTGTCTTTCTCAAACTTTTCATTTCGTGCCCCAGCACTGTTATAGATACTTGTCTTTCCCCAATTTTTCATTTACTTCCTGTTAAAATCTCTAAATGGTATCTTTAAACACTTTACAACAAAAAACGGCTTTTTGGATACTTCTTACATTCTCGATCCAACTGCAAAAAAGAACACCTTTTACTTTTCACGCGATCCACAGCGGGTCCTCTTCGAGATCGATATGCGTGGATAGATCGCGCACACCGGTCAATTTTCCGCAGGAAAGAGAAAAATGTAGGCCAGACGACGACGACAACGACGCGTTTGCGGACGGATTTTACTTTATGTATATGTATATCCGAAATCGATAGGGGCACACTTTTGACGAGCACACTCGAACGTGCTCGGCAGGTGCACGTAGACGAGCGCATGCCCGGACCTAGATGCGCGTACCGGTGTGAGTTATAATTACGGTGACCCGTTTGTTTAACTCCGCCGATAACGAGCAACGATTTTCCGCCTACTTTCTCCGGCCTATCCGTCTCTCTCTTTTCCTCCCTTCTTTCCCGCAGCTGCGGAAGGGGGGCAATCCACAGGAAAATACACTCGCGGAAGCGTTTTGTCCCATCCATCTATCGATCGGTAAAATTGTAAAGTGCGGCCATCCAAGTAATTAACTGAAGCGATGATTCACCAACGTCGACCGAGAAGAATTATGATCCACGGTTACGACTAGTTAACTTTTCCAATTTTACAAATGCACCGAAGATTGAATATAATTTTTAACCCCTTTCTCGTGCTTTATAACGAAATCGTTTTTCACGGAGAGGAAAAAATTTGTCGAAACGGAGCTCACCTTGAACCCTCCTTCGTGTCCTACCACCTGTTCAAAATCCTCTATGGCGTTCGACGAAACGAGCTTCCGGTCCCGGCAGGCCGCTCCGACGAAATTGAATATATGAATGCGAAATTCCAGCGCGTCCAGGTCCGTCGAGGGTTCGACTCTCGAACCGTAGAAAATAGCGACTCGTTAGGCTAGACGGCCGGCTAGCCCAGTGGAGAAACGGGCAAATAAGCGGCCGAACGGATTTTAATTAGAACGCGACAAGTCGAGGAAAATGCGCGTTTGTTCGTGCGGAGAAGGTGAAAGCCGGCTTGATTACATCGCGCCTCCACCCCCTTCCCCCGCCGCGCAGGACAATGATATAAATGGAACTTTAAAACTTTTTTAAGTGTTACAGTGATATTTCGTTATATCTTCCATAATGTCAATAATGTTGATTTTCTTGCAAAATCCATAATTATTACAAATGTCAATATAACGAAATATCTTTTATGCGATGTTTGTGGTGTAATAAAAAATCTGTGTTTCGATTACGTTTTTGATACGTATTACTCACTTATATGTAATAATATAGAATAAAAATATACTATTAGTCCGATATTTGAAAATATGCATGCGTTCGTAGTCACTGTTAAACTGTTGTAATAACAATGGAATAATAAAATAATTTACTCAAATGTACATAATAATACATATACATATCCATAAAAACAATATTAAACGCAATAACTTTTTTGTACGCGAAGAAAAACTAATATAGGTCCGTCGGGATTGGGACCCAAGACTCCTTTCTAATACGTCTACTTTACAGTGAACGGACGGAAGAGAATCCGTTCACGACCATGGTCCCTTCGATGATTTTCCGACGTACCGAACACTCATGATCTGACAACATTGTACACTGACTTTTTACACTATCGGTATTTCAGAACATGAGACACGAAGTCCCATAAGATGATAGGTCTATCCTATACCTCATCGGTGGTAGTACTACGTCTTTTCAAAAACAAAAGCTGAAAAAGAATGTTAGGGGTGAACTGCTGAATAGCATCCACATCCAATGACCCTGACCTCGACATATGCTATCAAGGTCACCCTCCCGAGTAATCTTCAAAGAGTTTAAACCGCGAATCATTGGTTATTGATAAGTTATTAATAAAGGAAGCATGCAAAGCAAACGGTAATATTCTCAGAAATCTGAACTGTTGAAATTTTTCTTATAATAATGCTTCCTGTAATAATGCTTCCCGGTTGGTTAGAAACGATTCAAGAAAGAAACTTTTCTTTCATCCTTTAATCGCACCACGACGGGGGTCGATTCCTGATACTCGTTCAGCGAAACGTCGTAGATTCACGGTTCCAAGGGGCCTCCATTATAAATTTTTCAATGTAACGGATAGCCGACGGCGACATTCCCGATCAGAAAAATCCGTCATCCGCCTTTCTTCCGAACGGTTCGCTGGATACCCGAACACGATCGGTCCCCAGGTTGCTCGACGAACCGTACGAATCCGTTTCGCTCGAATCAATCACCGGACGGAACATCGATACGCGGGTAATCGCCGGATTAAAGGATAACCAAGGATAATTACTCGCCGGGCCGATCCGGATGCAATCAATTCTCGATGCGTTATAGTTCGCGCTACCGCACCGGGCCCACGCCTTCCTGCATCACGGATCGCACATCCGTCTTCTATCGTCCCGGCCAATTTTTTCGTTCATCTTTTCGACCGATCCCTCGATATCCCGTCGCACGTCCACCCTGGTTTCCACGCGATTAAACCTGACCGGACTGAAATCGAACGTTACAGCCTCCCTGCCTTGCGATTTAGCTTCGTAGATAGACGCCTTTTTCCAACTGACCACAGTGTATTCGTCTTAGACGATTGGTGCGCTACTTTTATTATTCATCGAGGAGATTCAGTGATCGAAAACTGTCCCAGGTTCTACAGAATATAAACTATGTCCTAGAGATAAAGTGAGAATAGAGTACCCACACACTCGAATCTTTTGTACTAAATACACACATCGAATGGAACCAAAAGTATATGGTATGTGCTCTGGTAAAAAAGGATTAAAGTGCGAAAAATAGATTCCAACTTTTTCAGGGTCTTTTTGGGGGCAAAAGTATGCTCTTTGAATAAGACCAACCCCAAAATTCCTAGAATAATTATTCACTTCTTGTGATGATTATTGAATTAATTGATTGTACAAGTTTCGCTACCTAAAAATACTGTGAACTAGATGTAGGTACATATATATTCGATCAATCTTGTTCTCAGTTGCCAAGAACAATGTCGAAACGCTAGGGAAAATAGCTGAAAACGAAACAGACAATCCCACACGTTACGCGATCTACGATTAATTTACTTAATCATATCAATAGAATTACTTCGAAGAAACGGTTGCGTACAATATATCGACCACTTTTTCTTGGTCCTCCTGTACAAGATCCTACCTGTATCGATTCCAGGTGACCGTTCAATAGCCACGATAAGAATTCCACGCAGAGATTGATTATGGTCTCCATGAAAGAATAGTAAAGAAGTGTAACTTTAATCGATGAAAACAGCGTCAAAGTTACGGGCCCTCGTATCTTTCGCAATGGTATCCTGTGCGCTGTCCACTAGAGAATTTACGGCTGTTAAAGCAACGGGTATTTACCGTGCCTGCTGGCATTATGCTGACCACGGTTTTGTTCCTGTTAACACAGACAGGGATTCGCGCATCCATCAACCAGCATGAGTTACGGTTGCCGAGTCCGCTTGAAAAAATATGTATCCGTTTCCGGCGTCGAAAGCGTCCCTCCCAAGTTTTCCGTCTCCTCTACAGCCAGCGATTCGCGGGCAAAATTATCCGGTAAATTCGCGGCCGCTCCGTTCAAATTACCGGCAACTTCGTCCCGAGGTTGGCTCGTAAATTTTTCTCGGTTCCGCTCGCGTGGAACTTTCCGCGGAATCGATCAGCGTCGTCGGTTTTCGCGGGAGGTGGACTTATCGCGGCAGAAAGTTTAATTTAATTTCGTTAACCCCCCGAGGTGTCCCCTCGTTTCCTGTTACCCCAGGCGGTATCTTCGCGTATTATTTCTCGCGCCGCCGGATTTCGAACTTTAATCCCGCCCCTCTAGCAAGTTTTCGCCGGATTTTGATATATCCCGCTGGTTTCGGATCGGAGAGCGACTTCTCCCGAAATACGAACTGATGCGCGAGATCGGCAAAATACAGTATTCGGTCGATCACTGTCTGACTGGTTCTACACGATTTTTGTCGGGGCGTCATCCTCACCACTGGGAGTGTTTACTTTCAGTTTGTTACTCACGATCGTGATCGTCCGTTTGATTCTTCTTGTGATGCGTTTTGTGGTGAGTGCCCCCGGGGATCGGGATCTCCTTCATGGCGAGCAGGTCCTGGTGACCGGCGTCGATCAGCGGGTTCTCCACCTGCGACTCGATCAGCTCGAAGCTGGTTGAGTTGTCCGAATGCGAGATGACCTTTACTGTAAACGAACAAGAGTAACGGAGCATGGCGAATGGAGTCGTCGCGTCTAATCGTCGACTCTCAACGCTTCGAAACGTGAACGACGATAGATGCGTGGAGATTAAAAACTTTACGAATCTTCGAGCGGACATTTGCGACTATCGCGACACAATGGCAGGAAAATCAAACGAAAACTTCTATGAAACGGGTCGTTCCAAGTAACTTGAACTGTGTTGTTAATAAAGGCAAGTCGAAGTTCTTCCGAGACGTCGTCGCGATAGGGAAAGTCGCACGAGGATCGTCTAAAATATCGACATTCGACGTTACGTGTATACCACGATTCCGCAAAAACTCGATCCGGCCACGAAAGTTCGTAGCGTGTCTCCGAGTATCGGTAACTACTAATCGAACCGCTTAACTTTCGGTCGCCGGGTCTTGTTTCCCGGCGTCGAAACTGCCGAACGATCCGTCCCTCCCCTTCCCTTGTGGGCGACTAGTAGTTCCGAGTTTTCGTTGATCAACAGTTGAGCGTCGCTAATCGTTCCCTCGGAACCGCCGCCCGTACGAGCAAGTCGCCGGTAAAAAAAAAGTTCGTCGAGCGGAGAAAGTATCGAGCGACCAATAAGTGAGGAAGTTTTTAGGGGCAACTTGCTACGTATCTTCTGGCTCCAGATCGGTGTCACGCAGCGTTCAAAATAGAAAGTCGTCGGTGGCGAGTGGAGCATCAGCTCGGACTAGAAACGGTTCAAGCTCTATAGAATCTGTACCTCAGAGATGCAGAAATAACAGAATTCAGCGTTACCAATTTAGTACCATATTCGAGATGGACGATTTTTATTCGATGCGCAAGAGTTTCTATTGGTTTAGTAAAAACGTAAACGCTGCCTAGAGGATTACGAACTGTACTTATTCTGAACAGGATTACCCTAAAATGATGCCGTTTTTTCAATTCGTATTGAAAATACCATGATATTTTTGAAATAATAAAAACAAATAGCCGGACGACTTGCTATTTTTTGATCCTTTGGCGGGAGAGGCGACGCTCGTAGCGAGGCTGCGTAGCGGACGATCGATGGTGTCTGGGTGCACCTTGACACCGGTGTACGAACCTTGGTCGACGAACCCTTCGAAGGCCTCGCGGAGATCGAAGAGCCGGTCGACTGGCAGCGCGTCGATCCTGAACTCGAGGTCATCGAGGTCGTCGTCGGCGCGATCGAAGATCGCCCGGTGCTCGTAGGTGGGCCTTGGTGCGAATTTCTTCCGGTGCACCAGGTCAGGCCGCTCGATACGTTTCGTCTCGTCCACGGTAGGCGTTGGACGAGCCAGCGGATAACTCGGAAACGACGACGACGACGACGACGACGACGATGACAACGACGAAGAAGAAGACGACGAGGACGACGAGGACGACGAAGACGAAGACGACGTCGCGACTGACGGTGGTGCAGGTTGTGCGGGGTGGTGGTGCTGGTTGTGGTGCTGGTGATGGTGATGATGGTGCAGGTGCGCGTCATGCTCGCTTTGGGAGTGCCTTGGCTGCAGGTGCACTGTGCTGAAGGCACGATCATGCTTGGACAACGTGGAAGAAGAAGAAGAAGAAGAAGAAGAGGAAGAAGAAGAAGAAGAGAAAGAGGAAGAAGATGAAGAAGAAGAGCCGCGATCATAGAAGCCTCCAGGTCCCTCCATGGATCGATCATCCGTATCTTTCTCCCTGTAAACAGGCCGATGCTCATTCTCGGCACCAGCACGAGCCTCCTGCCGGTCCTCGTGATCGGCACGAGGATCGTACCCCTCGATCACGAGGACACCGGGCCTGCCAGGCAACTCCGGTGCTTCCTGATGACGGCCGTGCTGATGACGATGCCCGTGCTGACGCCTCTGTCCCCCCGGCTCCTGGACGTCGTACGTGCTCTCGTGGTCGTAGTACGAGGTGCGCGCGGCCCCGGGGAACAGAAAATAGGGGTACATACTGGTCGGCGGTAACCAGAGCTCCTGGTAGCTCTCCTGCTGCGGGTCGAACGGATACAGGGCCGAGTCCGTGCCCGACAGGTCTACGGAGGTGGAGGAGGGCAGGAACTCTGTAACACAGAAGCAGAGACGCGGACGAGAACGGGGTGAGTGGGGTGCGTGATCGCATATCGGTACACGTGCACAGGGGTACGGGGCTCTCTCTATCGCGTGGTACGTGCTACTTTTGTGGTGGTTCTGTGATACGGTGGTAGTGGTGGCGGTGGTTGGTGTAGTGACAGTGGTAGGTCAAGCAGTTTCGAGGACACGAAATCACGACTGAAACCGACAATTGGCAGTTTTTGGGACGCCCGTCGAAGACATTCTTCGGTCCAATCCTGGACATTTTAGTCGAAAATTATACTATTGCCGTGTATTTTTACTATTGTATTACATTATATTAAAGAGATTAGATTATATAGAAAAAATAGCTAAATGACAAATTGCTTTAAAGTAGATAACATTAGAAACGAATTCCACCGTTAATAAGGCAGAATCTATTAGGTCAATTTTCAAACAAAAATTCCGAATCAGGAGAAAAACATCGAGCTTGTACCACGACGTTCCTAAAGAGTCCCGCGTTACGAAACAACCGTACTGTCTATAAAATATTCGGCGGATTACTCCAGCAACGAGGTCTATCGTGGCCCATTAGCGTCCCTCGAGAAGCCAATCAAACTCCGGGCTGGCAAAAAGACGAACGGGGATCTTCGGTGTTCTCCCGAGGATCGTACCTCGAGCACGGCTTCAAAGCCGGGAGAGCCGTTCGCGTGGGAAGCGTTTGCTTAGGCGTTCGACGGTGCCACGGGAGTTTCCGAAGGAACTCCTTGGCGGCAAAGGAAGTCGTCCCGGCGCCACGTTCTTAGAGTCGAACGTCAATTCCGATTACCAGCTGGTTCGTTTAACTCGCCCGGGTGCAGTGATTTTTCCGCGATCTTTTTACGACGAATCTTTGCCGTACTCATCCCCAACCTGGCCAGGCCAAAAGGAAAATACCAAGCGACACGACGGATTTACCGAGGAGAGAGCATCCAGCGACTGATTGCTGCACTTTTCGACGCGATGTGTACTCGGAGGAAATTACTATTTATGAATAATATTCGAACGAAGTTCCCGTTTCGAAGTAACCTCGGCTAACAAGTCTACAGCTTCCCGAAGCTCAGGGAGAGAATAACTTTAACCTTCGTGATGGAGGATGACGAGGTTCGCGATGGATAAATCTTGAATGTTTTGAAGGATCGGAGCATTAAACGCTGACCTCTCGTACCCTCTTACTATATACACGAACGCGATATTTCTGTGATATTACGTACTGTTGATTTTGGAAAAAAAAGTAACGGAAAGACGTATTTGAATCATGTTCGATTTAGAAAATGACTACTCACTTGGAACACTTTTCTAATGTATAGTTCGACGCGGTGTAGAAATAACGCGCTAACATATCCTCCACGACGATAGAATCGTTAAAGAATAAAACGGATAAGGAGCGTACCGAAATTTCGACCAAATTGCTGGAGTAATATCTTCGTATTTCCTAAAATTTGAGTATTTGTATCTTACCATACAAGAGCTAAAATTCCGTCAAACCTTATGCAGATGTATTAGATCACGAATGATATCTTCGATCAAGACGATCCGGACACCTATGACGTCTAGATCGAAAGAGGAGAACGATGAGGTAGGAGAGTTTAGTGAGTCGAGTAAGTGACAGAGAGTAGACATTCGTAGTAGGCGATTAATCAACGAGCATGCGCATTATCAGATAGAACGTATAGAAAAATCCAGGCATGCAGGCATGAAGAGTGTACGTGCACGGCGCCGGGTCGGCCACCGAAAAATAAAAGACTCTCTCACGTGCAGAAAGTACGGCATGCGGTGCATAATCTTCTAGCATTCTGGCCCGAAGGCTAGCGCGAACTCTTATCCGCGTGGATCGGCCGCGACATCGTTTCCCATTCGCAAAGGAACGGTGCACGGTGGTCCCGCGAGCCATAGATCCTCGATTCGGCCCGTTCGTTCGTGCGCCAAGCATTACCCTGGATCGCATTCGAACGGTCTTTCGGCTCGATTAACATAACACCGTTTCGAGGCGATAGATTCGTGTCAGCGATACAATGCATGAAAAGGAACAACGGTAAAACTAATAAGAAGCCCGCGCGCGGGTGAAGAAAAAGGTATGCTAATTCTTATCGCCTCGCGTGCCCCCCTCGATAGAGAGCTGCGATCCAAAGCGATTTACGGGGTCTGGTGGGGAAAAAATTCGTCGCCCCCCCCCCCCTTCCGTCGCAACATGGTTGACCCAGTTCGATGAAACGTGAACCTCGAACGAAGGTGAAAAGACGCGAAACGTATGGAGATCGCGGTCTGAACGGCGTGGGAGGAGCGACGCGCATTGATCTCGGCGAATGCAAATCCTTCGGGCAGAATGCGTACTTGGGGTGGCGAGGGGTGGGTGGTGGTGTGCTTGGTGTGCTCTCTCGTGCAGACGTTCCTTGACATTCGGCGGATCTCGAGGGCGGATCCCCCGGCCCTCGATCGACTCCCATCGTTGATTCGTAGATCTCTGGATGCGAGGGAGGGGGATTTTTTCTCGTGATCTCGCGACGGGACAACGCGTCTCTCGGAATCATCGTTTCCGTTCCTTTCTTCCTTCTCGTTCGGACGATCGAGCGTGTGTCTCCGATTCGTACCGCTATACTTTCCGATTGGAACGGCAACTCGAGGCGTGTCTTTATCCTATGTAGCCTTTCGATTTACAGATCGACTGGCAATCGAACGATCGTAAACGTTTTACTCGAGTGTCTTCCAATCCGCGGTCGCGGTTGTATTTTCTATAGAGAACTCCTCCGATGGTGAAACGTACAAACTGGATTGCAGCCTGATCACCGTTGCTCGACTATTCGGCAGTGATCTAAGCAATGCTGGAAAGACAGGTGACAGAACGCTTGCACGTCGAACATGCGCTCCGTTTCGCAGGTATACTTACGTGGCGCGGAGATACGCTGTACAAAATACTAACCCTCGGCGGTTTACAGACAACCGAAACCCTGTCGTTCTTGGCCGAGTGAACGACCTTTGATAGTCGAATTCGAAACAGAGAATCGTCGATTATTATTCCGAAGTACTCGAGTATGCTACGCTCTTACTTCTGTACTTTGTTACAAAAAATAATTTTCGTGGGAAGATACATAAGTCCGGTCGATTTTCATCCGTACGCGCAGACCGTTCTGAACTTTAATATCCAACCTGAATTACTTCGGCCGAACTTCGGACGAACAAGAGAAAAAATCGCACGAGCTCGTTTTATCGGGCCGGCAATCTTCGAACTCGCGGGCCGTCGATCGAAGATACAGCGAGCGATATATTTTCTCGGACGATTCGACGAAAGGGGCAGGCTTCGAGAATAGAGCCGGTCCGGTGTCGTTAAGCTCGATGGAAGCGGGCGAAGGCATGGAAGATGTTGCTCGATGGGAAAGGGATTCCGGTGAAATTAAGGTCGAGCCTGCCACGCGATGAAATCCTTATCTACATCTCGATACCGGTATGGCCTTTGGTTAATTAAGGAGAAAGGAGCTTATCCGAAGGAGGCTATAACGTCGTTCCACGAGCCTTATGACGAACTCGGAAGAGTAACGGAACTGAAAGTGTTAAGTGGAAGTATCTGTGAACGCGATCATCCGCTACGAAGTGTGGTTTTCGACATATCTGACACACGATACAGCGTTCGTTTCTACGTTTTCGTGGAATAATTCAATTCTAGAATTAAATACGGATAAATTATCGACATTTCTCAAAATTTATACGATACCATTCGACGTTTGTTCCGATTTTATGTAAATATTCAGGAGCCGATCAACGATCGATTCTTGTAAATCAGTTCATTCTGAATACCAAATAAATAATTCAAATCAGTGTCGATACACTCTTCGAAGATGTAACATGATCTAGAATGTCCGATTATTTCGGTCCAAGATCGACAGGGTTTCTCGCCGGTGATACGCATATCGATCGAAGAGAAAAAGGTAACAGACCAAAGGAACAAGTACTCCGTGACAAGGTACAGACAAACAGTTACAAAACGGGCGGGCAATCGAGCGAACCTCCCGCGACGAGACGGGACGAAACTGGTATTAAAGTGAAATCGTTCCCGTCCGGGGTGGTGATCCAAACAAGAAAGTAAATGAAACGAAAAAACAGCACACGTTTACTTCACAACACCAACAAATCGTCTTCCAAAAGGGTGCGCTAGTAAATACGGTTAAAATCAACGTTTACGATACTCGTTCCCATTCAAGAATTCACAAAAGTGTCTTGCACTTCTCGGGCAATTCACAACGTAACAAAAAAAAATGAACAGAAACAAAGTCGAAAAGCGTAAACAGTTTCGTGTGTACGCGCTTGTAATACGGGCGATGCCTGTATTGTATCGCGTGTGTATACGTATACATAGATAGAGAAGAGGGGGGGGAAAATATAACGTTCCATCGATCGGAAACGGTCCGCAACAATTTTATACTCACCAACGCACGGATTGTGATTCACCATCGAGAAGATCCGGTCGCAACGCCTCTTCATGTGATTGTTCGGGCATATGCAACCGAACATCGGCGACAGTCGAAGCTGCGTCCAGGAATCGTGACAGGCGCTTCTGAAACAGAAATATAATAGTTGAGAAACCACGTTTCAATCTATCTCGTCTCGTTGTCCACAAAAATTAGTCCAAAAAAGGAAGCCGCAAGTGGAACGAGTTTGGCCGCGACGGCTCTCGGATCCCGTGGAGAACTAATTACGCGAGGGTAATTGAATAATCCACTGGAGAATTATTCCCATAGCGTTCGCGGTTCAAAGTTATCCTCCGCGAATTAAGTGAACGTTAAGGATCCAGCGTAATAAGGCTCGTAATCGGTAGAGGATACGCGGAAACACGAGAAAGAACACGAAGATCGACGAGTCTTACGAGACGATAAATTTATAGGATGATCGTTTCGTGAAGCGGACGACTCTATTTTCGTGCCATCGTTTCCTGAAATTTTCTTCGTATCGGGCGTTTCTATATTATGTATATTCCATTAACTTAGAACCCAAAGTATCGAGTCAAGATCGACGATAACTGAAAACTGTATCATTATGCTACCCACTTCGTGAACTCGCGGTACAGACAATCATCGCGATAGCTTCGAAAAAAGCTGAAACATGCCGTAGAAAAAAAAGCGCAAAATCGTATTGGTGTTTCGAACTACGTAGATCGCTACGAAATCTGTGACACAGTTGGATCTTGATTAAAATTCGAACCCCGATTTCGAAATCGGTTGCTTGGAAACGAGACTCCCGCGGCAACGACTCGTTACTCCTGAAAGAATTGGGCCCGGTTCTCGGGGGATTTCCGGTCCACCTTGTGTTTCAAAAAGGATCCCGCGATCCGGCTGCACGGGGCAAGAAAAGGGAAAATGCTGGCAGGATATACACCGTGGAAGCGGGGGTTGGGAATTCGGGAATGGGTCGTAGCTCCGAATTATTTGGGTTAATGGCACACACACAGCGCTTTGTGGCTCTTCGTCTCGACGAATTAGAGGGTGAACGGACCAAAAGGAAACACGGAACCGAGGGTGAAATAAAAGCGTCACGGCCGGCAGCGTCGGGGATGGACCGCCCCTGGACCAAGGAGCGACCTGGAAGTACACGAGAAAGATGGAACACGTTCGAAGAGAAGGCAACCTTTATCGTGCCTGTAAATTTCTAGTTGGGCGATCGAAAATGTAGGCTTCAGTTTAAAGGGAAGCCATAAATTTCATCGTGGGCTCTGAAGTTGTTTCAGATTTCGTGAGGATTCGTAGCGACTCGAGTGAAACGATAATCGATCTTCGATGTACACGCGTGAATCGAGTCTTTATTTTCGTCACTTCCGAAAACCAAGTACGTTCAGTTAATTAATGTGTGTGAACATTTTAATATCAATCGACCAAACGTGATTACATTTATATACAGGATTATAAATGAATTAATTCATATCCCTGTGGATAAGTAATAATTTCGCGCATCAATTCAATTGTCACGTGATCAATCGTTTCTGACGCGGCTGTGTCCAATGAGATTATGGTCTCGTTAGACGTTTATATTATTTTTTTTCCGGAATGCTTCCCGCAGAAGGAACAAACGTCGATGCGGTCTGGTCGCAGAACGGACGCAACGGCGGCTTCGATGTCTTCTGGCAAGTGTCTTGTGCCCGGTTCCCAACGCAGCACAGCTTTAAGCCGCCACTTCGGCGAATTTATAGCGGTGACCCGGCGGCGTCGCCGTCAATCTTCTGTTCGTTGCACGGATTTTCCGTCGAGCGTTCCCGAAACAAGCTCGGACCCGATCTCTTTCAATTTCGCTGGAGCTCGTTGAAATTATTTTTCGCTTCGGAGCCGAGATGCTTTTGGGAGTGTTCGGGTACGTGGTATTTTCGGTTTTTATTTCCTACTCAGGGGTTCGAGGGCAACTGCACACGGTTGTATTGGAAAGGGTATTATGATAATGGTGCTCAGCGCACTTTCCTGCAACCGGATCTCGGATGATCGTCAACTGATATCGCAAGAATGTTTGAAGTCTTCGTGCAGCATTGTATTTGGGGGAGGTATTGGTAAATTTGGATTCGGTGTAACTTGAGTGGTATCAGCTGTTGTGCCAAGCTCGTAGAAGTGGATTGAATTTGATCCACCATACATCGATTAATTAGTCGAGCAATGTCGTATATTTAGAAAGAATGTTCTCGATCATGTAAATATTACGTTCGAAGTATCCTGTAGCTACCTTCGAGGACATATCGTCTAAAATGTGCAATCGAGTTTCGATGAATCGTTGAAAGGACCCAGATCGACCCCGGGGAAAATACTTCGATGCTAATTATACGTCACTGGAATAACTGTGCCGACATGTCGTACACCGTTCCATTTACATAGGCAATTCTGCACGGTAATAAACGTCGCGTATAGATTATTCGACCTTTCCCGCGGGTGAAACGGTTCCATTAAGATTTCCTCAACCCGGAGCCAGAAACTGTGGAGTTTACTTTATTTCGCCGCCGCGGATTGTATTATTTTATAACGTTTCGGGCACCGTTCGAGCTTCAGCCGTAATTTCGTTTCCTGGTCGTGAAACTACTTAGACCGACCGGAAAAGTTTCTAATTAATTTCTGTAATTGTGTGCGGCTGGATGCGACGCGAGTCACGGACCCCGGTTCGGTTTCGAAGCGTTTCAAGAAAAGTGAGTGCATTAAGGTGAAAGAGAACGTTTAATTTATCCTTCTTTTTAATCGAATTAATAATGGAAACGCGTGTCGAGCATGGTTGATGAATAATTTAAACGAAGACGTTTCCTTCTCTGATTCCAGCCGGAGAGGACGTTATTAAGCAGTGTCAAAGGAGTTTCCGTCGGAGAAAGTGACGAGCATTTTGCCGCGCGTACGCTAATCACCGTTAGCGAAAGTTATTCCTGATATGCGGAATTTAATCCCGACGTCGCGTTGCACGAAGACGTACCGGGAGACACTCTCTCGTCGTTCAAATCGCATTCACGCTAGCCTCAGTTTCCCTTCAGAACGAAACGAAGTTTCGAGAAAGCGGCGCAACAGCGTCCTTTGGCAATTTACTAGTATAATCTTGCGACGTGTGTCGCGAGTGGAACGCGGTTTACGTGTTTACAAGTGGCCGTCTTTTTGCTCCGAATTCGCGGTGCAGTCGTGTCATAGGAATGCATTCTGAGCAAGCAGTTTCTTCCCAGGATATAATATACAGGGTGAGTCGATGAGAAGTATTATCCAAAAAAAACCTATTGGTTGTAATCAAAAAACATTTTAATGAGTTATGTAGCATTTTATAGGACGCATGGGCTGGATACAATTTCATTTTTTTATACCTTCTTTTTTCGAGATATCAAGGTGACTTTGAGTTTTTTTAAGGTCAATACATCTTTTGTTTTTAATACTTTGTTCTATCTACAATAACGTGGTATTAAAAAAAGATGCATTAACCTAGAGAAAATTCAAGGCCACTTTGATTTCTAAGAAAAAAAACGAATAAAGTATAAAAAAAATCAAATTGTATCCATCTGATGTGCTCCTCAAAACGCTATATAATTCGTTAAAATGTTTTCTGATACAACCAATAGGTAACGAGTTATTTTAGATAGTAATTCTTATTGACTCACCCTGTATAGAATACAATGGTGTTCATAAAAATACACTTGCACTGGGTGGATTCTGTAGGCGAAATTAAGACGAAATTGCGTTCGAGGCTTCGTTTCTGAGTTATTAGTCAAGGGCGAAATACTTTTTCAAATGCGTTTTGTCGAATAGAAACGAGGGTTTCACGCATGTCCGCGCTGTTTTCGAGCACCGTGGACCGAGTTACGAAAGTTAAAATTGTCGTGGGACACAGGAAACGCGCGGTTCGTTCGTCGAAAGGAGAAGGTTATTGGAATCTCGCGGGTTACGGACGTTCGCCGAGATTGAAAATCGGACAGTGGCAATGAAATATACGGTCCACTCTCGACCCTCGACTCTACTGGTCGATTCGACCTATCCTACCGCTGATTTCCGTCATAAGGTTTTTACGCCCGGGTCCGCTGAAGAGGATGGCAGGTCGCCGTGAGAAGATTCACCGCCCGAGTTCGAGACACTTCGGCAACGAAACGGATAATCTTGGCTCCGTCTGTTTTCAAGTCGGCAATCGATATTCGTAACGAGATAAAAAATATCGGGACAAAAATAAGCGGGCGTCAGGTGATCCTACGTGAAAAAATTAGTCGAAAATAAAGAATACAATTTTTTGAACATTAATTTGAAACGCGTGCATTCGTCCCGGTAATAAGTGAAAACGGAGCGCCAAGTCCTGTTCAATTGCAGGCGTATCTAGCAGATTTTCAAATTTAATTCTCTTGAAAAGCAAAGCCTCGTATGAAACCATTTTATTCTATATCTTTTTTCTTATTTTTTTTTTACGAGGATACATCTGATGCTGGTTTGTACATAACTTTCGGAGACACCCTGTTTACATACCTCGAGGTTCATCTCGAACTATTTCCTAAACCTGTGTACACATTATGTTGTATACATCATTTTTATTACGCTATAAGAAAATTCGGTTCTTCTTCGAATACTTTTGATAGTAGTATGCAAAACAGTCACGTAAGCTCTTTGATTCTTCCATTTGACGTTTTCACGCATTCGCGCTCGAGCATAGATCTCCACATTTCTCGGAAGAAACACCCACGACTGTTCCTCTTTTCAATCGATTCACCGGTTCGAGAAACCTAAACGACACATGCGGAAGACATTGGAGAGCCCAGGGATGCGCGGAATAAAGTGGTCGGATAGATGTATCGGAGAGCTGGGGTGAATGGGTGCATTAACCTATGAACAGATTTGATGGATCACCGAACGGATCCGTGCGCAGTAGACGCTTCTTCTCTCCGATGAAGGGAGAAGACTGTACCCGACGATCGACGTTATTCCACGCGGTTACTTTCGTTTCCCCGAGTAAACGGAGAAAGCCCCGTCGATGTTACAAATGAAATCTTTCGTTCTCTTGGGGGTATGGGGTAGGAAATACAAAATTCATTCAGTCGACAAGGAAACTGCCGCGGTACAATAAATCCTCGATGAGTGT